TGATGGATGAGACTTTTCTGAAATTAATCAAAAACATCAAGTCAGATTCAACTATCTCTATGAATCCCACCGAAAATAACACAAACAAAACTGTTTACACTGAGGCCAAACAAACCATAATGGCCCCAAACCAAAAACAAAGAGAAAAATCTTTAAAGCACGGGAGAAAAAAAGAGATTCCTTTCAAAGAAATACTAATACAGAAATGGCCCAAACTCTCAGAAAGCTTACAGAAAAAAAAATGTTAAAAAGGGAGCCAGGAAAAAAGCAGGTCCCTAATGACAATGTTGAATTAGGGGATCTCTAGATTTTTTGTTAAGGAAACAAGAAATGTGTTTATAGTCCAAAGCTCAGAAAGTCAGATATTGTTACTTGCAGTGGAAACTATTCCTGATACAATGTTTAACAGAAGTCCCCCAGAAGAAGAGATGGGAAAGAATACTGCTTGAACAACAGATATAATTAGTGAAAATTTTACTGAATTAAAAGATTAAATCCTTACAGTGAACATTATGAGTGAGCAGGAACACTGTAGATACTGAACAGGAGGAAAAAATATACATGTTTGTATATTCATACCTGAACGGAGCACAATAAAGTTGCAGAGGACCAAGGTATCAGATAAAATCTTAAAGGCTACTAAGGAAAAAATACCTATAAAAGAATAAGACTCAATAGAAAAATTTCTGTACTTATGCAACCTGGATAAAAAGCCCAAAAAGGATAGTACAAAGAAAGAAAATTACAGGCTAATTTCACCTAGAAATATATATGCAAAGATCTTAAAATATGCTAACAGAATTCAGCATTGTATTTTATAAATAGTCACAATTAAGCAGTTCGTCCAGAAATTTAAGGATATTCAACATTAAAAAGTTAATTGATGTAAATAAACCACATTTCAAAGAAAAAAATACATACAATTATCTCAATAAATGCATAAAAGTCATTGATAAACTGTAATACTCCTTCAAAACAAAAATCTGAGCAAGGAGATGGAAGTTCAAAAGGAGAACTATCAAAACCAGAAAGCAAACATCATACTTCATAGAGAGAAGCATTCCAGTGAAAGTCAAGAGCAATAGAAGATTGTTGGTTATCTATGCTGGCTTATTTGTAAATGACAGGACTGTCAACATGGAACGCAAGAGGATTTCAACCGAACCATCAGAACAAATTAAAAGTCAGAATTTTGCTGGATATAAAAGTTGGAAAAGTACTTCATGGAGACAGTCACAAAACATTATTTAAGGCAAAAAGGTCCAAATTCTCATAAAATATATAACGTTTCAATAAAAATCACAGTAAGTCTTTTTACAAAGGCTAAATGTAACAAAGTCGATTTTGAAGAACAGCAATGTGTGGAGGTTACTGACAGACCAGATATCAAAGGTGATTAAAAAGTGTGGTGCTAACATTAGAAAGACTAATAGAATGTATCAGAAAGTTCCCCAAACAAAACCACACATTTGGGAAAACTTAATGTGATGCAGATGACATTATAAACTAGCATGGAATATATAAATTAATGGTACCAGGACAGTTACACACATGGAAAAAAACTAGATTCTCTATTTCACGTTGATTTTGTACAACACAGTCAGTTTCAGGTGGATTAAAGACATGAATGTGAAATGCAGGATATTTAAAAACAACATTTAGATGTTGAAACTAATTTGACAATAAACTATTTGTAAAAAAAAATAAATAAGAATTAATAAATAAATAAATAAATAAATTTGAAAAATAAAAAAAATAAAAAAAATAAAAAAAACATTTAGAGGGGTGCCTGGGTGGCTCAATCAGTTAAGGGTCAGGCTCTTGATTTTGGCTCATGTCATGATCTTGTGAGATCCATGCCCCCCCCCTTCCCCTCTATATGCTCTCCCCCAGGGCTCTGTGTTGACAGCGTGGAGTCTGCGTGGGATTCTCTGTCTCAGTCTCTCTCCCTCTCAAAATAAGTCAACTTAAAAAATTAAATAAAGTAAAGAAAATAGAGATAAATTTTCTTGATCTGAGACAGAAAGGGTTTCTTAATCAAGATACAAAAAACATGAATAAAATATGAAAATTTTGGCTATACTGAAATTAAAAAGTACTCGTACAACAAAAATGAACACAACATAAATAAAGCAAAAGGACAAGCCACAGCCTGAAAGACATTAAAAACAAACAGAATTAGTATGAATTAAGGAGTCTTAACAAGTTAAGAAGCAAACATACAGCCAATTAAAAAGTGAGCCAAAGATATCAACAGAAAAATCTCAAATAGCTAATTAACTTTCAAAAGGACAATTTTATCACAGAAATACCAAATTAAAGATGAAAATATTTCACATCCATTAGATTTGACAAATACACAACCAAAAAATAACATCATCAAATGTGAGAAAGGACATAGAAACAGAATACCCTGCTACTGAATAAAAACTGGTATAAAACCACTTTGGGGAGCAACTTGGCAATAGTTAATACATAAAGATAAGCATACCCTCTACCAAGCAATTCTATTCCCACTAACATCATTAGAAAGCCTCTTGGAAATGTGGACAAGGAGAAAGGCACAAGAATGGTCACTGCAGCAGTTCTTAATACATAACTAATACTTTAACACAACAGAATAGTTTGTTTTTATATAATAGAATATCCTATGGCAATTAAAATGGACTACAGCTATATGTATGAACAAGATAAATCTCAAAATCAATAATATCTAAGGGGAAAACATTTTGTAAAATGATACACAGTTTGAAGATATTTAAAGTTTAAAAACATACTGAACACTGTACACACATACATATAGCACACAAACCTAGGTACCAAAGTTTCAAAGTATAAAAACAGGATTTGGTACACTAAACATCAAATAGGGACAGTAGTTACAACAGGAAAGAAGAATGGGAGGCTTAACCACTTTTATAATATTTTTTTAAAGTATGAAAAAAATCTGGGGCAAATCTGGAAAAATGTTAACATTTCTTAAAGCTAGGAGTAAATACACAAGCATTCATTATCTTACTCTCTACTGGTCTCTACGCGTTTAAAATTCACAATGAAAAAAAAAAGGTTAATTTTACATAAACAAGATGCCAAGTATAAAATCTCTGTCTTCCAGATAGCTGTCCACACTTCTTTTAAAAGTCAAATCACTCATTAAAAAGGTAACAGAAAAGTGTCGTCCCGGCTTAACAGTATAATTAAGGCTTATTACTTGTTACGTATCTATCATTATTAAATTAAGTGGCTAATATGTTCAAGCATCATAACGCTTAAGGATTACGAGATCTTTTTTTTTTTTTTATTTCTGAGAGAGAGAGAGAGAGAGCGAGAGAGCGCGAGCATGAGCAGGGGAGGGTCAGAGAGAGGGAGATACAGAATCTGAAACAGGCTCCAGGCTCTGAGCTAGCTGTCAGCACAGAGCCCGACGCGAGACGCGAACCCACGAACCCTGAGCTCAATGAGCTGGGCCAAAGTCGGACGCTTAACCAACTGAGCCACCCAGGCGCCCCAAGGAGTACAAGATTTTAGAACACAGAAATACATCTCAGTATACTGGGGATTTTTAGGTGCTAGGCAAACCTACTATATGATAGGTGATGACATTCGAATGTCATCACCTAAATTTATGTGTACGGATCCACCCAACACGAAACAAAGTTGTGAAAGTCTTCTTTCATTCTATTTTAACCCTTTATCCATTTAACACTGATTAAAAACAAATACAAAACACACAGGCCTTAGAAAAATGACACACTATTTTGCACACAAAAGCCATCGACAGGCCTTGGATTTAGAACTCCGCCTGAAAGTTGCTTCTCCAAACATTTATCCAAAACGTTGCTGAGTTATGCTAGAAAACAACGCAAAGTTTATAGGCTCGGGTTCCAGTTGCGTAAAAGCGACCTTTTGGGCTTTCACCAACTTCTCGAGAGGTTGTTGAGAGCTGTGAAGAGACTCTGTTCCCTATGGAGCCGGGGCTGGGCAAGTGCCAGCCACTCTCATCTGCGGAAGACCGAAAGTCTAACGCTTTAAAGGAGGTCTAGCAGTTTTGTCAGGGCGTCCCGCTGACAGGAAGGGGCAGGAAGCCGTCCCCTTGCTTCCAAGCAGCGGGACCCAGTGAGGCGCCCAGAGGATCCCTGAAGAGTATCTCTACCAAACGCCGTCAAGTCAGCTGTTTGACATCTAAATTCACCACATAGGCAGCCCATCCCCACCTTGATATCCTCAACGTAGGAGTCTGGTTGGGGGGAGGGGACATCTCAGCCCAACAACGGCCTCAACCGTCTCCTGCCAAGTTCCTGCTCCAGCCCACCACACCCGCGGCCTGAAGAATCCCACACTCACTGGAAAGTGGGGCCGGGTCCTGGTCCTGGCCCGGCCCCCGGAATTCGGCGGGTCTCCCAGGGCTTCGGGGGAGGCGGCGGCTGGGAAGCCATCTCCTCCGCCTCCGCTCGACTCCCGGTCCGCGCCGGGACGCTCCAGGCCCGGGTACACTAGCACCTCGCGCGCCAGGCGCAACGGGCAGAACACCGAGCCCTCCACCCCGCCCACACCTGCAGTCAGGATGTCGCTTGTAGTGCTTTGCTAGCTGGGGCCTGAGGATAGGAGGATGCCGCTAATCCACGGGGGTGGGAAACGCTCTATTTTTATTTGCTTTAGTAAGAATGTCCATTCTAAACCTGAGGCTAAGGGCTCATCGATATTTCTGACAGCGACTAGAACTTCCTAGACGTCGGAGTCCACGGAGGCTTTTCTGGGACTAGTCCGACGCTGGCGGGGTGTTTGGTCCCACAGACTCCTACCCCAGCAGGGGTGGGGGTAGGGTGAGGGGTTGTGGCGGCGCACCCAGCAATTTTTTGGTTTCCTCGCAAACAATAAGGGGAGAGAGTTTATTCAAGCCCTGCGAGAGGGCCTGGTACTTTCGTTCTAAAGCTCTCGTTTCCTCGGGGAACAGAATTGCTACACGCAGTAGGTGCGTTGTGTTTAGTCTTCCCCATTCCCTCTGGGGGCCGGAAGGGGTTAAACCTCAGGCTCCGGCGTCGCGGGAGAAGGTGAGGCTGTAAGGTCCGAGGGGTGGGAGTGCAGTCTGGGTGCTGGAGAGGTTTGGATGAATGGGGTCGTTCCTTTCTGCCGGAGCGGCCTTGTTATCAAGGAGGGGTGAGTGGGAAGTTTCTTGGACCTGACTGAAGGGGTAAGGGCATGCTTGGCCAAAGGAGAGACTCGGGATTAGATCTTGGATGAATTTCCAGGAGTCTAGAGTAGATTCTACAGCTGAGTGTAACGGTAGCGCAATGAAGATCTGAAAATCCACTCCTCCCCACTCCCACGAGACGAATGACACATTCCTCTATGGAAATGAGTGTTAAAAGATGATGGGATGTGAGACTCAATCTGGCCATTTTGGTGTTTTTTTTCACTTGCCCCTGCTCCTTCTCTTTTTGCTACGAATGGTTCCAGTTATCGTCCAAGAGTTGAAAATAAAGTCCATCGTCCCCTCCAGGTATAATTGGTTTGTGGAGAAGGGACTCGAACCCGGTAGGGACACTAACACGTGGGAGGAGGCTCTGTTGAGATGACTTGTTCCAATTCTTTCTGTAAAAGAAGCACTTAAACGAAAAGCAAAAATCTTAACAAAGGCAACCAACAATGAAAACCTTACAGTATGGGATGCATTTCTCAGGGCTTGCTCTCAAAGATAATAAACAAATGGAATAACTTATTTTTGATATCTTATGAAATACTTTAAGTGCTGTACCTCAAAATGAAACACCCAAATTTAAGGCAATGAATTTCCTCCTTTTAGTGTTAACATGCTTGAGAAGTCGCTAGATTGTTGCTAAATGAAAATAATATTGACAGGTTTGGAAGACCGCTCCATGACTACGCATAAACGCTGAAGAGAGGGTTTTGTTTTCTCTTTTAAGACCTCTTCGAATTACGGGGGGCGGGAGGTTTCCTAATTCCCAGCCGGTTTGGGAACTTCTCAGCGCCAAGAGACTGTAATGTGTCGTTTATTGACTTTGCATGCTGCCTTTAAGTGTGCTTATTGGAGTAATAAACATTAGTCTTTGAGCCAAAAGAAAGAAAGCATCCTTTTTTTTTTCAATTAAAAAAGTTATTTTTACTTTAGTGTACTTGACACACAATGTTACGTTAGTTTCAGGTGTAAAACATCTTGATTCAACTTCTCTGTATTGATATTCCCTGCTCACAAGTGTAGCTACCATCTGTCATCCTACAACCAATTAACAATACCATTGCCTTTTATTCCCGTGACTTATTTCATAACTGGAAGCCTGTATTTCTTTCTCCCCTTCCCTCTGGCAACCATCAGTTTGTTCTTTGTATTTACATAGATTCTTACTTTTTTCATTTTGTTTTTGTTTAGAATTTTTTTTTAAAATTTCACTTATAGGTGATATCGTGTGGTATTTATCTTTCTCAGTCTGACTTATTTCACTTAGCATAATAATCTCTTAGGTCTGTCCATGTTGTTGCAAATGGAATGATCTTATCCTTAGAATGCATCCATTTTTTTTTTAAAGTTTATTTATTTTGAGAGAGAAAAAGAGAGAGAGAGAAAGAGCCAATCCCAGGCAGGCTCCTTACTGTCAGCAAGGAGCCCCACATGGGACTCGATCCACAAATGGAGATCATGAATGACCTGGGCAGAAATCAAGAGTCAGGTGCTTAATGGAATGAGCCCCCCACCCCCACCCCCCAGTGCCCCTAGAAAGCATTTGTTTAATAAAAATATTTAACTTAAGTCCCTAGAGAAATCTTTGATACAAAATGTCCTTTTAAAGAACTTACTCATTCACTTATCAGAGAGGAGGGTTTGTTTCTTAAAGATTAATTCTGATCTAAATGAAATCTTTGGCCTTAACTAATGGAAAGGAGAAGGAAAGATAGAGACAAGAATTGTTTCTCTGGGAGGAGAGTGCAATCAGGGATATACTGTACTGATAATCAGTCCCTCAGTGAATGCCAACCCCTTCTCAGCATCAAACTAGCAGATTAGATGGACTGGCAGAAGGAATTCATATTACTTGTATATCTTGATGACCACCCAGAGCTTCTCTAAGTACAAAATGTTCTCCAAATATTCTGTCATTTTATGAAAATGTCCTTGAGCCCAAATGTACTTAGGCAACCTTAAATCAGAGCTTCAATCCCAGTGTCACAAAGTTCTCACTGGTGTATCCAGGCATGTTTGAGTTTCTTCTCTTCCTGTCTATCGGCTCCCATACTGTATTTACCTGAATTAGAACTCAGCCAGAGGGAGTCTGTTTTTTGTAGTCCTGGCTGCTGAACTGATTTTTATGGTGAAGGTTCTGTATAGGTATACATTATACCTGCCTTCCTCATTATTTGTGTAAAGGATATACTTTTGATAAGGTGTTCATAAACGTTTAAAACTTGCAAGTAAGTAGTGGGTTTTAAAGCGTTGGAAAACAAGCTAATTTTAAGAATTACATCTTCAGAGTAAGGAGTTGGTAAGAGCTTACCCTTCCACAAATTTGAAGCAAGTTCATTTGAATCATAAAACTGCACGAATTAAAAAGTGCCACTTTTTCTGAAATGTTTTATTTTTGAGAGAGAGATGGAGACAGCATGTGGGGGGGGGAGGGGCAGAGTGAGAGGGAGACACTGAATGGGAAGCAGGCTTCAGGCTCTGAGTTGTCAGCACAGCGGGAACCGCAAGCCAACCACGAACCGAACCGTGAGATAACCTGAGCTGAAGCTAGATGCTTAGCTGAGAGCCACCCAGGCTCTCCTAAAAAGATGTCACTGTATTTTATATGCATGACCATAGTTATACCATACCACAATACTGCCATGCAATTATTGTTTTATAAAATATTGCTGGTTCCTCATTTTAAAATATGAGGATACAATAATCAGAATATATTTGAAAAACAGAATGATTATGTAATTTAATTTTAGTACCACTCCTTGGCAATAAGAGAGTTTTATATTGGATTTTACCCCATTCTCGAGTATTTGTTTCTAAGGGAATTAATTCACATTGCAAAAACTAGCAACTTGTTTTAGATAATAGTTACTCTAAATTATTTTGCATGTAATTTGAGGGTTTTTTTTTTTGGTGGGGGGAGGTTTTACTTGTGCATCAAAGGAGCAGATTTTTCTCATTTTGCCAATAATTGGTTGTCATTTAGTTATTCCATCAGACTATAATTGATGTTTTTAGATCTACTGATCAGTTTGTTTTAAATACTTGACTGCTTAACTATCAGTAAGGGTAGTAAAATATTATATAGACTGCTTTGATTATTTTTTCCTAGCAAACTCATTTTTAATTTCTAATAGGAAATGTTTATTGAATTTACTATGTGTTCTCAAACAGTTGAGTAGTATAAATATCTGAATGATATAAAATAACAAAATTTCACTCCTGTATTCTTTGTTTTTATTACCCTCCTCAGAGACAACCATTCTAGATTATTTTTCTTTTGATCGACTTAGTTATATTGACATACTTTATCAATAATCCAGGATGCTGTAAGCTAAATTCCTTGATAATTAGAAACTTTTACCTGATCCATCTAATAAATGTCCTTCAAGTTTATGTTTAAATATGCATAAAATGAGAGGTATATTATTGGAGAGTATGAAATAGTGTTTTCAAATTAAAGCTAGTTTTTATCCCTGGAGGTGATGACATATTTGTCTGTGAAAGTAAAACACAAAATGTATTCATTACTTTTTCTTTCTTTCTAGTTATAATTATTCACAATGTTTCCACTGACTGAGGAAAATAAGCATGTGGCCCAGTTGTTGCTCAGTACTGGTACCTGTCCCAGATGTATCTTCAGATTCTGTGGTGTGGATTTTCATGCACCTTACAAACTTCCCTACAAGGTACTTTCAATTTGTTTCTAAAGAAAGTTTCTCTATTCTAAAATGGATAACTGCACATTTGAGGGCAAGCATCTATCCATTGCTCTTCATTAAATTAAAAAAAAAACTATAATACAATAATTACTGATAATGGTAATTATGGAATTTCCACTAGTACCATAAAAGTGTAAATTCCTTCTTAAGTGATTATATCTAACACTTAATGTAGTGGGATCTTTGTGGAGCACATCCTGATGTGTGTAATGTTTGTATATACTTCTAAAAATTAGATATCAAAAAATAGTACTTCTAATCAGACATTAGTAATATGTGACAGGAGGAGGATGACAGTCCTGAGATCTGCTACTAAGTATGGATTTGGCTGCATTTTTTTTCTTCTTCTGTTTTCTGTATTACCATTTGTACTTAGAAATAGGTGTTTATAATCCTCCAGAAGTAAATGCTTAGCATCATCATTATCTAGTGCTATTAATAACAACAAAAATAATATACAGAGATCTTTGACATTTATAGTAATATACACAGAGATTTAACTTTTAGCAATACTTTCACATAAAATATGTAACATATTTTGTGAAATACACTTGATTCTAATAGTGATGTTCTTTTTAGAGACAATAATTATATATGTGAAAATATACCTATATAAACCGTACATATGCATACTCAGAAGAAACACTCAGTTTCTTATGATTTTTTATTTTTTTATTTTTCAGAAAGAGAGAGAGAGTGGGGGAGGGGACGAGAGAGGGCAGACAGAGGATCTGAAACAGGCTCTATGCTGACAACATAGAGCCTGATATAGGGCTCGAACTCATAAACTGGGAGATCATGCCCCGAGCTGAAGTCAGACCGACCAGGCACCCCATTTTACAGTTTTTAAAAATTGCTTAAGAGTTAGAAATATCAGTCATTTTCCCTATGTATTAGTTGTTTCTATTATTTTGGAAATAATAATTATATCCAGTGTTCATATAACATTATTATATGTCAAGCTCTCATTTAATCTTAATAATAACCTATCAGGTAAGTACATACTATGATTGTCTCTATTTTCAGATGAAGAAACTGAGGCACAGAGAGGTTAAACAACCTGCCCAATTTACACAGCTATTAAGTGAGCAAGCTAGGATATGAACTATCTGTCTGAATCCAAAGCCTAGAATTTGGAGCTAGAAGACATGGATTTGAATCCCAGTTCCAGCTTCAATTTTCTCCTCTCTAAATGGGAATGATGATAACATCCACCTCACAGGATTTTAAGGGACAATATCTAATAAAGTATGTGAAAACACTTTGAAAATGGTACCTATGCTATGATGATTAATATATATGTGTATATTCATTTATACACACTATGACTATAAAATAATAAGACTGGTTTTGTATAACTCTCCTTACACAGTTTTCAGACATTATTTTATCATTCTATGCATTTGTTGTAAGATATTTAAAAAATATCTTTTATAAAGAAACTTAGTGTTTATTTGTATCATTATGTAAATATCAAAATATTTGAAGAATTTTTTTTGGTAAACGTACTTAAGTTTTGATCTTTTTTAGTCATATTACTATTTATGTACACATACACATATACTATGTTATATGACATTCTAGAACTTAGCTAATAAAACATATTTGTCTGGGTCACAGTATACCTATATGTGTATGTATATATGAATATTTCTGTTAAAGATAAAATAGGAGAGCTAATGTCTTAATAAAATGAATTAGATTTGTTTTAGTGAAAGATTTTTTTATGCTTTAGAGTCAGTAAATTGTAATCTGAGTGAATTTCAAAAAGTATATTTATTCAACAACTGAGTAATAAAATCTGTCTAATTTAGGCAAAACAAAAAAAGTCCTCTGAGATTTTAGATGAATGGAATGTCTGAAATATGAGAACAGTTCCAAAGGAATGCAACTTTTATACTTGATCTTAGCCAAAAGGCCGAGAAACGATGGGGAATGCAACTTTTAACATTCTACTATAAAGGGTGACAGAAATTAGGCAAACCAGAATGTAGTAGAAGGCTTCTTTCAGTTAATGCATATATGGTTTTTGTAATTATGGTGCCAAATTTCAGCACTGCCACCATCTGTTTACCTTTGTTTAGTAACTTGACTTGAAATTATTTTTACTTAATAGACGTATGATCTCTAAGTTTTCAGAATTCATTTTAAACAAATATTGTACAAATGAGGTTTTAGTGCTTGTGAGATTATTAAATAACCTAACAAGGATAGAATTCAGTTTGTATTTCTATTTGTTAATAATTAGAAATGAAGCTTTTTTAAATCTAAAATTAGGAAGTGAAGGATCCTCTTGACATAGCTACAAACCAAATTATAAGCATACTTTGGACATATTAGAGGTTTGGTTCCAGACTACCGTAATAAAGGGAATATCACAATTAAGTGAGCCAAATTAATTTTTTGGTTTCCCAGTGCATATGAAACTTGTTTACACTATACTGTAGTCTTTTAAGTGTGTAATAGCTTTATGTCTAAAATGTACATAATTAAAAAATAATTTATTGCTAAAAAATGCTAACCATCATTTGAGTTTCCAGAGAGTTATAATCCCTGATCATTAGGTCACTATAAAAAATATAATGATGGAAAGGTTTGAAATATTGTGAGAATTACTAAAATGTGACACAGACACACGGTGAGCAAATATTAGAAAAATGGTGCTGGTAGACTTGCTTGATGCAAGGTTGCCACAAAACTTCAATTTGTAAAGATGCAGTATCTGCAAAGCAGAATAGACTGAAGCACAGTAAAATGAGTTACATCTGTAATAAATTTGTTAGTGGAACTTTTCTGCCTCCGATTTAGGACTTTAGCTTCACTAATATATGAAACTCTTTTGGAAAAACATTCACTCATATATTGTAGGAGTTAGGTAATTTTCTTTTATGTTCCCCAGAAAGCTAGTGCTGGCTAGTAAGGTTAAGTGATTTCTCCAAAATTGATATAAATCAATATTGTATAAGTCTGTGATATATGGTAATTTCACTTCTGTTTTCATCCTAACCTTAAGGGCATTGTCAAAGAGTTATTACTCTCTTCAAATTAACTTTCCAGGAGTTGCTCAATGAACTACAGAAATTTTTGGAAACTGAAAAAGAGGAATTCATTTTGGATATTCCAAACCCACCTCCCAAGAAAATTCGACTGCAAGAACTAGAAGATGGAATTGATGGGATTGATAATCTGAGTCAAAATGGAGAGGGGAGGGTCTCTGTTATGGAAGACGGTAGCATTGCTTCTAAGAACTCAAATTTAAATGTGTGCAATGTATGTCTAGGAATTCTTCAAGAATTCTGTGAAAAAGAGTTCATTAAAAAGGTAAATAATCTGTTTTTTATTATATGTGCGATTATGTAGAAATTTTCAGTTCTAAGGCCTAGAATGCTTGTATCTAAAGGAGCAAAATCACATCAACTTGTTTAACATCAATGGATCATTAAAACATTTTTAAAGTTTTTTTTTTAAAGCCTACTCTCAAATTACTTTTTTATTAACAAGATACCTGAAAATTAATGAAATATGTGTCCTTGCATTTCAGTCATGAGTGTTACTCAACTGAAGAAAAATATAGCCGTTTTCCCTCTGCTGTTTAACATAGCTGAGGGATTAGAGAAAAGGTCTTAGTCATACCTATTAAGGTCTTAAAATGACAAGTGTTACCGTCTTGTGGAAGGTACATGATTGAATGTGGGATGGTCTTTTGTTTCTAGCTGTCAGGAGCGCCAAATTTGACTTTACTGTGTTTAAAAAGATTTTTTTTTTTTAATTAGGAGGTGATATAATAGAAAACTGTTTTGACATTCAACAGATTTGTTCTGCAAGTGAGTCCTGGCTGTTTTGGTATCTTGTGATATCAGTTGTTCAGGGTTATAGTTAGCAAATATTTGATTTCACGATATTTATGAGAATTCCCAGAGGTGAAAGTTTACAAGTGTAGTGTAATCTCCTAGCCCCAAAATCCATGTTATGAAGATGAGTATAAAACTTGCAGCAATTCCTGAGAATTTATATAATACTGTTTTATATAATTAAAAAATGCTTTTATTTAATACTTCTTTAGGTGTGCCAAAAAGTTGAGGCCTCTGGTTTTGAATTTACCAACTTGGTATTTTCAGTCTCCTTCCCACCACAGCTATCTGTAAGAGAGGTAAGATCATTTAAATGCATAAAACTGTATGTGACATGCATGCTAGAAATTTCTCAAAAAATGGAGATGTAAGAATATGCCTTACCATATTTTCTACTTTTTATGGGCTTATTGAATAATTGATGATTGAAAGCATGGCATTATTATAGCTGCTTAATAATGTTGAATGAATGGATTTAAAAAAGGAATTATTATGTTAGTTTATAATAGGACTGTCTCTTTCTTATTTATTTTTTTTAGTTTTTAATATTTATTGTGTCAGCAGGGCTGAGAATATCACATGGTTCAGTCTTCTGCGGAAAGTTATATAATAAAAGCCTAGCGCCTTTGAACATGAAAAACATCCCAAAGGCCAGGAGTCCTCTAAAGGAATTGAAAGGTAGAGATTTCAGAGAATTTCTCTCATTTTCAATATGTGAAGTGACTAGTTTAAGTCACTTTTTGAAGAACTTCATGAAGAACACAGTGTTCCTTATGCCATTAAAAGGACTGTTTTTGTTTTTTTTTTAAAGGTCCTCATTCTATAGCAGATATTCATTAAGCTTTAGATCTGTGTGAGGCATGGTGATCAGAGAAAGAGATTTGACCAGGACCTCAGAGATGTTTTGGGGCAGATATATATACATTTTATAATGGTCCTGGGGTGGGGTCATTTCAGTTATGATTAACCTCCTTATTTTCTGGAGTCCATGGAAAAACGGAGAGAAATGGGCTCATGTTTATTTTAACTTTTTCCTTTGTTAAGTGAAAAAAATAATAGTAGTCATTACTGTAACATTTTTGTGTGTCAAAACTGACATGAAAACATAAAACTATCTTTGTTAATACTGTTAAATGAATTATAAGGAGAATGACCCTTGTAATCTCAATTTACAACAATGAGTTCTAAACATATCCATTTATGTTTGTAAGGTGTTTTTTCCCTAAGAATCTAAAAGCATCACCCGAACATTGTATCTTATACCATCACTCTCTTTGAGTGAGCAAAATATGTTGTAGCAAATTATATGTTTATTAGCCTCCAAAAGGCTGAAGATTAACTTGACTTGTTGAAGCTGGATGAATAACAAAGAGCTGGGAAGTAAAAAAGAGTATTGTTTTTAAGTATCTATTGATGACAAGATGACTGAACTAATAAAATAAAGGAGATGATGATGAGGTACAGAGGTTTATAAGCACATAAAATCATTTCTAGTGAATAGTCAAAGTGTTTTTCACGGATAGGTCATTTTAAGAATCCAGTTTTGGTAGCGAGAAACTGACTTCCAAAAGTTAAGTGACTCATAAAAAGTTACACTGTTTGAGTAATAAAAATAGAAATAAGAAGCATATTTTCTAAGTGCGGTTATATATCTTACCACCAAGTTCTTTTTGACATTAAAATTTGTATTCCATTTTTATCACTTAAGTGATCATTTTAACATATCCATTTAATAGTTATTGAATACTTATGAAGTATTTATATTCCATATTAGAAATGGAAAATGCTTTTTAAAAGATAGAATTATTCTGCTTAAACTTTATTTACTTTTTAAAAAACATTCATTTTTGAGTGAGCAAGAATGAGCGGGGGAGGGGCAGAGAGAGGAGGGAACAGAGGATCTGAAGTGGCCTTACCCTGACAGGAGCAAGCTTGATGTGTGGCTCCAACTCATGAAATGCAAGCTTGTGACTTGAACCGAAGTCGGATGCTCAACTGACTGAGGTACTCAGGAGCCCCTTTATTTACCTTTTATAACTGATTTTAACCATGAGATTTAGCAGAAATATGTGACTATTCCAGTTATTGGAGAATTAATACATTTCCACATGTGTGTTCAGTGACTCATTGCTTTCCTTTATATTGAGTAATACATTTTTACCCATTCTTTTCTTAAGAATATTAATTATTAAAGTATGCAGTATTATGTGCAGTATACTATTCAGATTTCTTTAGTAAATTGTGTTTATGGTTCATTTTGTGATTTTCTTTCATTATTATGTTTTGTTACTTTCTTTTATTGCTGTCTTTTATTGCTTCTTTGAAGTTGAGATATGATATGTACGCTAGAGTGGATATAAATTGTTTTTTAAACTAGTTAACTAATTTGTTACATATCCCAATTTAAACAGATTACACATTTTCAGGGTATTCTTGCATTTTGAATATAAATTCTGTGACTTCTTTAGTAGCATGTTTCTTCTACATTATAGTGTTTCAACTTAGATCTTGTAAAACTTAGAACTTGTTTGTCTGTGTAAGATAAAGATTAATACATGTGGAATTGATTGATGCTGGTTATCTCATAATTCAGAGTGGAATATGCAATTGAGTGAATTTGAATGATTCAGTGTTTTCCACTTCTAAAGAAAAAAAAATATGATCACAGATACATTGATTTGAAAACAAATAACTTTTTATCAACAAGGTAATCCTATATGTCTCCTTACTAAAGAACCAAGGGAAGGGATGAGCTCAAGTAAAGGTGTTTTTTTTAAATTAAAGTATTAAATTTATATTAATTCTTCTATATTTGGCCCAAGCAGTCCCTCCTAGCTACAGCTATAGTTTTTATATATCATCATTATAAAAGCACTAATTTAAAAGCTTAGGTGGAAAAGCTCTCAGTTGATATAATCATCCTCTTGCACTGAGTTTGGGAGAATATGGGCAGAGAGGTAGAATATATCTTTGTGTGTTTTCCTAGGAACTGTCTGCTCTGGTTGGGATAGTTTTAGACTGAATAGTGCTAAAGAGGAGGAAAACAAGCAGATTAACTGGAAAACCCTGTTAGACATCAAGTAAGACATGATAAGCAGAATAAATGGAAGCGATATTCAGGCAGTCACAAAAGACAAATCTTGAACCTAACTGGATGTAATACTTAGAGGCTCCAAAGTCTTTATAACAGCATATGAAATTTGAATGATAAAATAAAGTTGAGATTATAAAGGGTAGTATGTTATGTATATCATTTATAAGTATATCATGACCATGATGATGACTTTCTGGATTTGGGCTCACCACTTGAATGTAACAAAGTAAGGATGTGTTTTTTATGAGAGTCAGATTTGTTAAAAGAGGTATAATGGTGTGATAATGGCAAGAAATTATATACCTGCATTGAGATCAGAGATCCTGTGAGTGGAAGGATACTGAACACCATCCAGAGGAGAATAAAAGGAGAGAGATGGGATAGATACAGGCATGGAAGTGTATTGTATGACCATTGGCCAAAGGAAGAGGTGATGAGTTGCAGACATAAGAGGTTATGTGCTTACATAACCTTTATATCATAAAGGTTAGTGCTTGCAGTAGTATCAGGGACTCCCAGTGTCTAGGCACTTGATACAAATCACATTTGGTTAAAAGCAAATTGGTGGCTTTTGAGTTACAACAGTGTCTTCTCCTAAAGTAGTGGTTTCCAAACTCTAATATGCATAGGACTCATTTGGAGAGTTTCCCAGGCCCCATCCTTAGAGATTCTGATGAGTAGTTTGATGGGACCCATGAATTTGTGTTTCTAACAAGCTCCTGGGTGATACTGGTGCTGCTACAAAGCACCACACCATGAGAACCACTGTCCTTAAGGATAATGGCAGGAATAATCTAGTCTGATAATAAACTGAGTACTTTTTTTTTTTAATAGTTTTTATTTATTTTTGGAACAGAGAAAGATGGAGCATGAGTAGGGGAGGAGCAGAGAGAGAGGGAGACACAGAATCTGAAACAGGCTCCAGGCTCTGAGCTGCCTGCACAGAACCCAGTGCAAGGCTTGAACCCATGAACTGTGAGATCATGACCTGAGCCGAAGTCGGATGCTTAACTGACTGAGCCACTCAAGCGCCCCCTTGAGTACTTTTTAAAATTTATATTTCTGATAGGAAGAGAGAAACAAGCATAATAAGAATATATCTGACACTTTTTTTTTTATCCTACACTTTTGATAGGTAGATGTCAAAGAGCCCAAAGAAAAGGAAGTCAAAGAAAAATGGAAGAGGAATCTGGCTGGCAGATAAAAGGATTGGGAGGTTTAGAGAAAGTGCAATTCAGACTTTAATTAAAACCAAATAATCCCAACCAATAAAAGAAAGTTTAAGGAGAAAAATACATCTCAGTGAAGAAGAAATTGGGGCATCTCTTTCTCCCTGTATTTATATAAACCTATGTATTTATATATTTATGTATATTTATTTGATCTTTTATTTTAGAACATTTCAAAAGTAGTAAGGCTAGCCTAGTGAGCCCCTAAGTATATATCCTCCAACTCTAATTGTAAAATTTTTGCCAAACTGAAGTTCTTTTCCAAAAAAAAAAAAAAAAGATATGGGAAAGGTAAAGTCAGAGTAATACAAAAAGTCAGAGTAAGAAGGAGGCTTGGCTCTGTAACAGCAACTGGAAAATAAAATCTAATGAGTAGAAGCTTGCAAGAACTGCTCAGGAACACTTAGGGTACTTTAAATTATGATTACAAGAAGAAAGAGATGAAAAAGGGAATGGGTCTGCTATTTGGAACTGATGGTATATTGGTGATGGATGACACAGAGAAAATGGAACTTATGAAAATGTTATTTTGTTTCTGTCCTTTCTATCAAGGAAAAGGATGTCCAGCATAAATGAGTAAAATGATCATTGATTGGTGAGGGAGAGTGAGAGCTCCACATGGTGAAGCTACTCTAATCGAGTTCAGGTTTTTGGGCCTGGACATCCAGGATGGATTCAGAAAGAACTTGCAGTTGTCCATGATCTTTGAGAGCTCTTAAAAGATAGCAGATTTTCCAGATGACGAGACAGAGAAGGACAGCTACAATTTTCTAAAGATGGTTTTGTTGACTGCCAACTGGTGAGCTTGACCCTAACCCCCGGCAGTATTCTAGATCAAGAACTAAAAAGTAAATTGTGGGCACTGAGGGTAAGGAAAACTTGGTGAACACCCCAAACAGATTCATTAAGAACAAATTATGTCTGCATCATTTCTTCCTTGTGTAGGCCTGCAGGACTGGTAGAGCAAGGAAATAGA